TGTAGGAGGGTTCCCCTTTCTCCACATCCTCGTCAACATTTGTTGTTGTTGTCTTTTGGGTGGTGTCATCTGAGCTGGACTGGAGAGGTCCAGTCTCAGAGAGCAGGAGCGGCTGCCCTGGAAGCCGACAGTGCTTGCAGTGGACTGGAAGCTGCTCTCCCACCAGGCAGGTCCCCCAGCGTGCCAGCCCTGTGTCTCAGTGGCACAGTCTCTCCTTCCTGGCTGCCTCAGCCCAGCACGCTCTCCTGGGTGGGGTTTCTGAATGCCAATTGGGTATCTCTCTCTGAGTGGCCAGTGGGACCTCAAACTCAACCCCAAATTTATTTTCTAAACTTCAGCCTTGTGCTGCCTGACTTCCTGGCCTCATCATCACCTCCCTGGAAAAGGCAGCGACCTTAGTGTGCTTGGACCCTCCCTGCTGTCCGCCTGCTGTCTGTGTGCCGTCACACTGTGGTGCACCGCCCTGTCCCCCTTCTGGACTCAGTCGTCCCTTCGTCAGACTCTCGTGCTGGCTGTAGGTCCTGGTGTCCAGTCTGTCACCATTCACCCTTATCCTTTTCTGACTTCCTCAGGCACACTTCAGCTTAAACTCCCCTGTGACAGATGCACGTGTTCCTGGAGGCGCCGCTCCTGGTAGACAAAGGGCAGAAACACTCAGATGTCCTTCAGCAGATGACTGGATGAACAACTTGTGGGATGTCCTTACTATGGAATATTATTTGGCCATAAAGAGGAATGAAGCCCTGATATTGCTACAACAGGAACCCTGAGAACACTGCTGAGAGAAGCCAGACACCAGAGGCCACGTGGGTGCCTCCATCTGTGAAATGCCCAGGCAGACCGCCAGGGTGGCGGGGAGGGAGCACAGACGAGCAGCTGCCTAAGAGGTGCAGGATTTTATTTTGGGGGATGAAAATGTTTCAGAACTAGGGGGGTGGTTGAACGACCCTGTGATGATACTAATGCCACTGAATTGGTCACTTCAAAGTAGTGTAATGTGAATTTCACCTCCACTGAAAAGGAAGCCTTTGACAGCTGGCGAAGGAAGATGGCCCTTCCAGCTGGGCACCCTCTTTCCTCTGCACCTGCTGCCAGTCTGCCCACCAGCTGCCCCTGGGGGCGTCGCCCAGAGTCTGGCCTCCTCCTGCCGCAGGCCTTTTAAGGCCATTTTCTCCGGGTCCCCTCCCTCAGCCCCTTTGTCCTGGGAAGGCGGAGGACAGCCCTGCGTGGGGAAGCAGGGGGCCTGGGGGCCTGGAGCAAACTGCTGCTTGCTTGGCCTTGGTGTAGGAAGCCTGGCCTCAGAGCCCCCATGGGAACGCCTGCCATCTGCACAGCGCCTCCGGCTGTCGGGTCATGCGCTGGCTGGCAGGTGCCCCACGTGCACCAAACAGGCAAGTGGTGCTGCGAGCGCATCCTGAGTGCAGGCGACGGGCCCAGCAGCTTCCTCCCTGCAGAGCTGAGGGGGCTGCCCACCCCCTCAGTGGTGGGGAGGGCAGCTCGCTGTCCTCCAGGCACCCAGCAGGCTAGCCGGGGTGCCAGGGCCCAGATCCCTGTGAAACTCCTGAGCGGTGTAGGTGCCTGTTTGACCGGAATCTGGGCGCAGGTTTCCCCTGTGGTCCCGGTCGGTTCACCCCTTTGTGGTCCTCCCATGGCCTGGTTGCATGCCTGTCACTGCTGCGGATGACTGGGCTCCGCTGGTTTCTAGGCTCCGTGCACACTCTGGCCACCGCGCACCGCCAGCTCGGTGCCCTGTACTTGGGGACAGGCAGGAGACGCCATGACAACCGTCTCCTCGGGGTCCCCTGCTGCACACACCTCCGATGCCTTCCCCTTGCTAGTCAGGCCTGCATCTCGGCTGACCCAGGAACACTGAACACTGCCCTGATCATGTCGTTGCTGTCTCCACTGTAATCGTCCCACAAAAGCTGTATGAATTTGTTAGACTTTTAGAGCTTCTTGGGATATTAATGTAAACCCATTACTTTTTGTTGGGAAGAATACCAGTTTTTAGTGTTCTCAGAATCCTTGGGTGAAACTGTGGACTGAAAATCTTGTGACCCCTTATGTGTCTCCCTGCACAGTCCCCCTAGCCACTCATGTGTCCTTTCCAAAAGCAGACTTACCTCGTTGCTCAGGCTGAAACTCCCAAGGAGAGGTGGGAAGGGACAGGCGCTGGAAGCAGGTGGACGTGACTGGGTCGCAGCCCTGCCGCAATGTGAGGAATGCCCCTAGCCTGTCTGTCTGTCAGTTTCTCATCCAATCAGTGGGTGAAGTATCTCCTCTAAGGTTTGTGTTGAGCACCAAATAAGCTTTTTCTGAAGGGCCTGGTACACAGTGGAGGGCCCCCCTATGCCCTGTAGTCCCTTTTCTCTCTGTGCCCAGGTGGATCACAATGATTTCCCAAAATGAAATTTGTTAAGAGTTTGAAAAGGCTGGAATTACCTCTTTTCTATTTGGTGCTTTATTTTTAAGCATCTTTGCCTTTCGGTAGCATTTGAAAAGTACCTTACACATTGTGCTGCTACATTAAATCATCTGTGGGGTGATAGATGAAGTAAAATACTATGCAGTCTCATATGAGCTGTTGGAAGTCACATAACGTGCTTACAAATCAGGGCCCTAATAGGCCTCACACACAGTGGCGAGTGAAAGAAGACATACAATGTGGTGTATAACCTAATGCCATTTGTATAAGTAACAAATGCATGCACATTCCTTGGAACCTATCCTATAAAAATAAAAGCACCTGTATGTATGGATTCATGTGCACAAATATTTGTTGCAGCTTTGTTTGGATGGTAAAAAACTGAGCACAACTTAAATGGCCATCTGTGAGGAAATGGCTGAGTGAGCTGCTGAATGGTCCTGCCATGAAATATTACGCAACTATTAAAAAGAAAACTGCAGCTCCTAGACTGGAAGGATGACCATGACATATATTCGTAAAAGAGAAAAGCAGACTGCAGAGGCAGGGATGATGGGTGTAGTTTCATTAAACACACACACACACACACACACACACACACACACACACACACACACACGTGTGTGTATTCCCCAGTTTGAGGGATTGAACAGTCCCGGAGAAACATGTGGAGACACAGCCCACCCACTGTTAGCACTGCTCACCTGCTGAGGGTGCAGGCAGATAAGGAGAAAAGAGGAGCAGCAATGTGGAAAAAAATCCCACAGTAGAAATGTTTAATAAAAAATTACAACACTAAGATTCTATCTCTGATATTCCTTTAAAACATGTAAACCGTGAAAATGCACATGGACGAGGTCTGGACTGTGACATGAATGAGACGCATCCGGAGTAAGAGGGTAATGAGCAGAAAGACAAACGGACACAATGCAGTGGCACCCGACGTCCAAACAAGCAAAGTAAACAGCAAACGCCTTGGACTCGCTGCCGGCGGTGGGAGGAGAGAGTGGCAGGTCAAAGGGGTTTAAAGCGCCACAGAGAGGGCACATCTATGCACCAGTGACCATGATGTGCCATGAGCTGAGTGTGATGAGCCCACCCTCTGCACCTAAGGCTGAAAAGTCAAACGAGAGCCTTCCCCTGGGGGAGCTGATGGAAAGAACCATTGTTGTAGAACCTATAAGAGATGCCCGGACATTGGGACCCACTCTTCGTAGAACATCATTCAAGGGTGACGGCGGTGAGCCAAATCCCCAGACATATGGTAACCAACGTGAGGACGGGTCTGAGTGAGCCCTACCAGGCGTCACTACTAGACCAGGGGATCCCCAGACCTGTCTCTGGGGCCTCAGTCTGGCCATACCTGTAACGGCCCAAGGGAGGTGGGTGGTCTGCCCCTTGGGGTGCTTGCCCTCCTGAACTTTCAAGGAGACGATGCTGGGGAGAATATTAGCTATCAGTCAGTTCCCTTAAATAGCGCCTTCAAACTTTTAGAATTAAAATTAATTGACGGTCTAAAAGAATGCCATGTAATTTTGGTGGCATTGAAACTTTTTTTCCTCGGATTAATCTAACTTTGTCCTTTCTCCTTTATTTCTCTGAGCTTGCACCTTTTTTGCAGCTGACTGCATTTATCTTTTGAGCTTTGAACCCTGCCCCGGTGGATAAGAGATTTCATGGAGGTAAACAGTCTCCGGAAATAGATGGGAGCTGCGAGCCAGCAGCTTGGCTGTTTGTGGTAACAGGCCCTGCCTGCGGGGCTGCGTCGGAGGCTGCAGGCGCCCCGTCTGCTGGAGCTGGGCGCTGACCTCCCCTCTGTGTCAGCCGCCCTGCAGGGGAGGTGCATCCTCGTAACGTGCAAGGCAGGTCATGTAATTAAATAAACTGGGTTCGGCCGGGCTTGACTGGGAACCCGGAGGAGTCACGAGGAGTCACAGCCCAGGGCGCTTGGTCCTCACCCGCGGCGCTCACTGCCTGGTGCCTCCTCGGGGCCGAACGACCACGTTAGCTCTGCCGTCCCTGCGCTGCCATGGCTCTCATTACAGTCGACGAGCTGTTAACATTTCCATTAGGGGATTTTTTTTAAGGGTTATAACCTAGTCATAACAATCATTTGTTTTAGCTGAGACTCCGGTAGCAGGTGAGTAGCCCTGCCGCTGCTTTGGCTCCTCATGTCGCTTGGGGAGTGTGAGCGGGTTCCCCCCCGATGTTCGGAGCACACAGACGGAAATGTGGCACGCTTAGGAACTAGGGTTTCCCCCATTTTCTTTTCTTTAATGACATTGGACGGTAGCTCTACTGGGCCAGGCAAGGTAGGGTCATCAGGAACCCCAAATGGGGTCAGAACCGCTGCGGGGGAGAGGCTCTGGAAGGGGTGCGTGGGGACGCCGGGAGGCCCCGGGGCTGGCGTTGGCCCAGCTCATCGGCAAAGGCCGGGACCCAGGCAGCCCCAGCAGCGAGCAGGGGGGTCCTCGGAGGGTGAGTTCATCCAAGTGTGTCAGGGGCCTGGGCTTCGGGAAGGGCCCCCCAGCGGCCTACAGGTTTTTACCCCAGAGCAGTTTCCTGGGTTACCCTCGCCTTGGAGGGGGAAGGATGGAAAAGACACGTTTCTTCCTCAAGGAAGTCAAGCTAGAAGTGACAGGAGTGAAGACAAGTAGCTGCACACCCCGCGAGCGCTCCAAAGAAGCAGGTGCGTGTGCTTGGGGGCTTCGGGGTGGAGGGGAGGCGTGGTCCGCATGGGACCAGGTGGGGCGGTCAGGCCTGTGGGGCGGGGTGCAGGGTCGGGGGCTTCCAGGCCACGGTGCCAGGGGCAGCGAGCTTGGGCGGTGTGGCAGCCGCCTCCTGAGGACCCCCCGCGGGTGCGGGCAGCACATCAGACACCCGGGCATCTGCCCGCACTGCCACGCTGCACCCCTGCCCACATCCCATCCTGTGCCAAGCCCTGTGGCTCCACCCTGGGGAGACCCCTTGGAGGTGCACCCGCCGCCCTCCACGACCACCTGTGTGCAGACCCAGCCGGTGCCCGGAAGGCTGCGGCGGCCCCGACCTGGCCCTTCAGCCTCCCGCCCTTCCCCTTCCTCCCCTGTCTCTGTGTAACAAGTACCCCCACAGTCAGCTACCTAAGACCGCAGACACTCCTAGGAGGGTCAGAATGTGCCAGCGGTTGCCCAGTGGGATAATTTTAGCTGAGAGGGCCTGGCCCAAGGCCTCAGGACATTGCCCCCAAGCATTCGGCGGGAGCTGCAGCCCGCGTCCAGGTCACTCCCATGGCAAACAGCAAAAGGTGGTGCCTCACCTTGCAGCCTTTCCACGGTTCTGCTCCTACCTGGGCAGCTGACTGTCCCTGGAGTGAGCACCAGGCCGAAGCCGCAGGGCTTTTATAACCTAACCTCAGAAATGAAAGGCCGTCACTTCCACCACACTCTGTTGGTACGATTCTAATCTGGTACAATATGGGCATAGGGCAGGGGCTTTTTGAGAGACATCTGGGAGGTCCTTTTCTAAACATATATATATATTTCATTGTGGTAAAATATACATAATATAAAATTTACCATTTTAACCATTTTAATCTGTATAGTTAAAGGCATTAGATGCATTGGCACCTGATGGATGTCACCACCATGTGTCTCCAGACTTTTATGCATCTTTCCAAACTGGTCTGTCCCCCCTCAACAACTCCCCATCCCCTACCCCAGCTCCTCCTCCCTTATGTTTTTGATGACTCTATGTAATTCGTGTAAGTGAAATCATACAGTATTTGTCCTTTTGTGACTGGCTTATTTAGCATAATGTCCCCAAGGTCCAACCACATCATGGCATTTGTCAGAATTTCATTCCCGTTTGGGACTGAATAACCTTCCACTGTATGTGTACCACGTTTGGTTTATCCGTTCGTCTGTTGATGGATGATTGGGTTGTTTCTACCTTTTGGCTGCTGTGAGTCATGCTGCTGTGCACATGGGTGTGCGACCATATGTATAAGCGCCTGCTGTCAGTTCTTTGGGGTGCACACCAAGAAGTGGCTGGATCATGTGATCATTCTCCATTTAATTTTCTGGGAAAACACCACACTGTCCTCCCCAGCGGCTGCACCATTTTATATTCCCGTTAGAGGTGCTCAAGGGTTGTGATTTCTCCACATCCTTGTCAGCACTTGTTGTTTTCTGTTTATTTGTTTTTTCACTTTACTTTTTAATAATTCCCATCCTCGTGTGTATGCAGTGGTATCTCACTGTGCTTCTGATTCGCGTTTCCCTAGTGACTAGGGATGGTGAGCATCTTCTCATGTGTTTCTTGGTCATTTCCATATTTTCTCTGAACAAATGTCAACTCAAGTTCTTGCCCATTTTTTAAATTGGTTTGTTTTTTGTTCTTGAGTTGTAGGGTTTTTTTAATGTACCTAGGATATCAATCATTTATCAGACACATGATTTGCAGACATTTCCATCCAGTTAGGGGGTTCCACGTGAAGACAACAAAGGCTTTGCTTTGGGACCAGGACAAACTGGTCCCAGCCAGTCCCAACCAGTGCAATGAACAAAGCTAAGAACAGCTCAAACCAGACCTCGTCACAATCTCAATAAAATAAAACTGTGGTTTTGCTCCCCACCCCCTGGGCTTTTTCTGTGTGCATTCTGGGAAAAGACGCATGCACCAAGAGGAATGGGTGAATAACTAGAGCTGTCAATCAAATGACCTCACCCTGTCCGTCAAAGAGGCTCCTCCCAGCCAGGAGATGGTAAGTGGACCTCCCCTAAAAGTTTGGGGCCTTCCTCTGCCTTGACTCTGGCCTGCTCCTCCCTGGGAGTGTCTGCAAATACCGCTTCCACCCTGCCTCGCTGTTGTGTCTGTGCCCTTCAGTGCTTTGTTTCTGCACCCGTGTGAGGACCGAGAAGAGCCAACTCTCCCTAACCGAGGTCAAGGTTCTGCGTGCTGGGGCCCTAAAGTGCTTGCACACAGGACCTGGATTCTTGTCCCAGGCAGAGGATGGGAAGGCCTGTGTCCAGCCAGCCGTCACCTGCAGCTGTGTGCGTGGGGGGCCACCGAGCTGAGCCCAGCCAGGCCGCCTCAAACGCAGCCCGCGCCGTCCTGGGACCTGGGGGTGGTTTGCTCCGCGGCCCTGCGGTGGCACGAGCTGACTCAACGAACTGCCCCGGCGGAGCCCCGGGGCCTGTGTCGTAAGGCCGTGTTTTGCATCAGTCTAGCCACTCTACATTGTATGCTGTGCGATTATGCAGTACTTGCCCCATTAAACCTTCGTTAGGCGATGAAAAGCAAAGACCCTGATGTCTTCGACATTAAGGTCTAATGAGGAAAACAGGCTTAAATAACCACATAAGTAAGTGGTATAATTACAAATTGAGATAAAATCCCTTTTGCAGAGTTCTGCGAGTGTAAACAAGGAACCCTGACGTAGGCCGGGGAGTCGGAAGCTCTGCTGTGGAATCTGGACCGAGACCTGCAGGGCGAGCACTGCCTTTCCCGGCAGGGCCCGTGGACGCTCTCGGCGGCTCGCGTGCTGTTCTAAGGGCTTGGAAAGTTCTGACTTGCCCACTCCTCACGACGCCCCTCTCACCGGCGACCAGCCCAGAAGAAGGGGGGGGGTCGGCTGAGGCCAAGTCCTCGGGCAGGGGGAGGGCCTCGGGCAGCTGAAGGGTGCCCAGGGGCAGAGAGCCCGTGGGGTGGGAAGCGCGGTGCGGCTGGGAGGGCAGCGCGGGAGGCTCTGTCGGCCTTGCCAGGACTCTCCATCCTACCGGATGACAATGAGAAGTCTCTGATGGGTCTTACATAGGACAGGGAATGGGTGCTATGGCCAGATTAGCATTTACTGCCAAGAATCCAGGTTGTCCAAAGGAGAATGAATTAGAAGGGCCTAAGGGGGATAAAGGGGGTTCAGTAAGGGGGATCTTGTGATAAACCAGGCATGAAATAATAGTAACTTAGGCAAGAATGACAGGCGAGGAAATGGAGACAAGGGGACATATTTGAGCAGTTATCAGGAGAGGAGATAAGATCTGCAGAGTTTTAATAGAGACATTCATATTATTTATTAGCTTCTCTGTTGAGTACCAACAGCTTACAGGTGTTCTATGGGACCCCCTTCCTGGGCTTCCTAGAGGAGGCACAGAGCTTGGAGAGGAAGCGGGTTTCTGGTTTAGCAACTCCTTTCGGCGGAGGAGAGTGCCAGAGGCATGGGGTGGGTGGGGGGAGGCTGGAGAGACTGCCGTATGGCTTTGTACCACTTGGAAACAGGAACTTGAAAAATATACATGCATAACAATTCCACAATTTGTGTATGGAAAGCTGCAATATTTTAATATTGCTTTTGAAATATCATTTTAGATTTCCATGAAGGAATCAATGACTCACGGAGAATACTGAATAAGCTGGAGGGATGTCTTCAGTGCTGGGGCCTCCCACAGGGACTTAGGATGGATTGCATGTCGCTTTCCCAAGGCTTAGGAGGGTATTAGGTCCTTCTATGCTCACTTAATGTTCCCTCTTCTTAGAAGCTGCTCCCACCTAAGTGTGTGCTAAACCCAGAATAGATGCAAATTTGGGGAAGTTTAAATATATTCTCTTTGCCTCCTGTATTTAAAGGAAATCTGATTTGGGTTTTGAATGCCTTTTGGGATGTATTAGAATATTTTAGGTGATAAACAGATAAGGAATAGTCTGCTTCTGTTAGGTTTTTCCTGGGCATTTTAAATGTTGAATTTTCAAATAGAATTATTTGATTATAATTCAGAGATACTGGTATGATTTTGATACCTTTAATAGAGAGCTTTCTAAGATAAAAAAATGGGAATATGCCTAACATATAAGGCATTTCTGTCAAAAGCATAGTTTTACTATTAAAGTATGAGGTTCAAAATTCCGGTTATAAAATAAGTAAGTCATGGGATGTAATGTACAGCATGGGGACTATTAATACATATTGTAAAAAAAAGATATTATTTAAATATATGTGCATGACACATGTACATGTAAGTTTCTTGTGGCTGCTGTAACAAATTGCTACAAACGGGATGGCTTGAAACATTATCCGTTCATTCCCTTAGAGTTCTGGAGGCGTAGTTGGAAATCAGTTTCACTGGACTGAAATCAAGGGGTCCACAGAGCCGTGCGCCCTCACCTCTTCCGGCTTCCAGAGGCGCGCTGCTTGCATGGCTGGGCTCGGGTCCCCTTCCCCCGGCTTCACAGCCAGCAGGACACCCGCCTCCTCTGACCTTCCGCCTCCTTCCCTCAGACGGCTTTCTTCTCTCTTCTGCCAAACGCCCCTCCGCCCTCCTCTCCCAAGGGCATGTGTGACGTCATTAGGGCCCACCCAAACCATCCAGGATTATCTACCCATCCCAACATCCACAACTGAATCCCATCTGCCAAGGCCATTTTGCCAACATACGGTGGCACCCACAGGTTCCGGGGGTTAGGACCCGGGTGTCTTTTCCTGCCGTTATCCAACCTGCCCCACAGCGTGTAGTGTTGTCCAATTCCGTTGAGTAGTGCATTTGTGCACTGAGGGAAACTAACCATTTTTTTTATTGTGGTAAAACATGCATAAAATGTACCATTTTAGCCATTTTCGGTATTGTAAATTCATTGATAATGAATTACATTCACAGAGTTGTGCAACCACCGCTGCCCATCTCTGGGGGCTTTCACCGTCCCAGACTGAAGCTCTGTCCCCATTGAACCCTGACGCCCCCTCTCCCGCCCCCAGCCCCGGACAAGCACCGGCACATTCTGTCTCTGATTTGGTGACTCTAGGAACTTGGCATAAGCGGAATCATACAGTATTTATTCTTTTATGGCTACATTTTTAAATGATTTTTTAAAACTTAATCTTCATATAGATATTCTCAGATTGTTTAATTTGCGGTGTCAGTGTGGGTCAGGGCAACATGGAATGTGGAGCTAGACGCAGTTACAAAGCAGCAGCAGCCTTCTTTGCCTTGAGAATTTCCAGGGATAATGGCTAGAACCCGCCAGAGACCTTGACTTCTATCATTCCCATACAGAGAAAGAATCTTAAAATTTACTTTAAAAAAACAGGATCCATGTGAATGGCAGATACTGTTTGTGAAAACATTGTGTCTTGCCAATGGGTTTCAGCCCCGGGCAAGTTCGCTATGGATTCAGTGTGACCAAAGAAATCCACAGCAAAACGTTCTTTGGGGTGGAAGGGTTTGTTACCCGGCTTGTTCTCCCGGCGGGTAGTTGGAGCACTAGCCTCTCTGCCTCCGCCCAGAGCACCGGGACGAGCTCTCCACATAGCGCAGTGATAGCTTATTGCCTACCGGTGTGGAAGCGGCCCCCCAGCAACAGGCCAGTTACATCATCAGGTGGTTTAAGTTCAGTGAGGATCCTGGCCATAGGAACCCCAACTTCCCCACACATTGTCAGGGTCCTCATCCCCCCATTTGATTTCTCTGTTAAAACTTTTGGATGCCAATGGGATTGGCCCACAGCACGGGTCCAGGAGGCAGGTCCCCAAGTCTGACTCCACTTATGTGAGGTTCCCACAGGTCAGCAGAGTCGGACCCGTGGGACAGACACAGAGCTGTGAACAGGTTCTGCCTCGGACCCGGTTGGCACCCCCTGCACACCTAGCTCTTTGGTCTTACAGCCCTCCCGGGCACATTTCTATTGGACGGCACAACTCTAGAACTCGCCTTGCTATGAACCAGGTGACTAGTTATTTGCATATTTCTCCATGGGTGGAGGGACTGAATGACCTCCTGGAAGTGTGGCTGGAATTCATCTGAAGTGCTGCAGAGGCCCTGGAACTATAATTTCTCCTGGGCCACCCAGTTGGAGTCGGACATTGTCTTTATCATGAAGCATTTTTTTTTTGTCTACTCTGTGACATGAATGAGAGATATAGTAAGCTAAGAAATATGTTTTACTGTGGAGGCAAAATAGAAGATATCAATCTCCCTTTTTTTCTAGGAGAACTTTGGGTGGAGAATTAAAATCTCCATAGTCATTGCTGTTTATGGCAGGCTTTGTGTTTAGGGCAGATTTTGTGTTTGGGCCTGAGATTGATCGAGCCTTCAGGGAACCTCCAGATTCTGGGTGTAAAAAGCCTGTTTTTGTTGAAAAGAAAAAGAGGCTCAGGACATTTTTACAATGCTGACATTAAGTAAGCACAAATTACAGGCAAATAGGATTCCTCTGCGCATGCAGTACTGACTCTAGAGTTAAAACAGCTTTGGTAATATGGCTACTTTATTTGGTACTTGGGAGGGTCAAACTGAGATACTTGTGACTAAGACTCAGCTGGCGTGAACTTCTACAACTTTTGCATTAATCCACAAAGATTCTTTTTTGTCCCTTTGTGGGCCCTTTGTGGGGTGGGGACTGCAGGGGTGGGGGGCAGAGGGGTGAGGAGTGGGTGGGGTGTGGGGCGGGTCTCCTCTCTGCTTGATTTTTTCTTGCTGTCCCTGGGATATCAACTACTGATGGGAAAAAATCACTGTCCTATGGTCTAAATACAGGCAAAATAAATATAAGTCAGAGGAGAAATTTAGAGGAAAGGAAACAGGAGCAGCTGGAGGTGGGAAATTGTTGGGGGGGGAGTCCCTGACATCACGAATCCTTCACTGGCGTCCTGATGTTCTTCCCACTAAAGGGAAGTGCGAATAAGGGTGAGCGGAGGCCTGACCGCCAGGGTTGCGGCAAGAGACACACATGATGAATGGTGGCTCTTTCTGGAAAGTGCTTTATGTTACAATTTTAAACTTAACTTCGCTGAGGATTTCAAGCAAAAAGCATACCCTTCATCCATGTGCTTCAACTTTTTTTGCTCCTCAGTTCACCTGGCCCATTTTCAGGCAACAGGGGTCACTCCAGAAGATAGATTATTGACTCACACTAAAATATTACTACCAGAGATGGTAAGGCTGGGTCAATTCTAGAAAAATGAAATTGGTGTTTATCCTAGTCACTGGGAAGAGTTTCAGCAAACACAAAATTGCAACGATGCATGTCCCCCAGTCATGCATAAACAAATCAGGTCACCAAATAAGTTGTGTTTTCAGTTCACTGTGTTTATATGCAGACCTTGACCTCTTCTCCCCTTTCTTCCTGATTATAGGTACGTCTGCCTCCAAAGGCACCGTGTGTGCGTGAGGAGTCAGAGGGCTGGCTGGGCACTGGCTTTTAACTACAGACAGTGAGAGGTTTCGCCTCTTCTGTAAGCAGAAGCGGAAGAGCCCTGGAAGCAGCTCCGTGGCCCTGCATCCTGAGGATCGGCTCACCCTGCCGGGTGACTTCCACCTGGGCCTTCGCCTCTGGTAGCCTTTCCTGAGAGTAGTGGGTCTACAAGTGTCTAGTGGGTGCCCAAATAAAGTGTGTGCTCGGTGCATATACAAAAGTAAAATGCTCCTTTCTCCATCTTTATCTCATCCCCCTTCTATATTTTTTTGCATGTTTGGTATCATTCCTAAGATAGTAGTGAAGCTTCACAGTTCCTTCTGTCCACAGTCCTGGTGCCCAAAAAGCTCTGAAAGCCAGAAGTTATTTTGTAATTCACTTGGTGACTGTGGATAAAGTGAAGGTGCCTGTGGCCAGGATTCTCACCTGGCCCTGGTTGGCTAGCTCACTACACGTGTGGGCAATACGTTGCTATTGACTCTATATGAAGAGCCCCACCCAGTGCTTGAGGCTACATAGTGGCAGGGCTGCAGGAGAGCAGAGACTGGAGTGGTGGCAGCACTGAGGACAGACACTGGGACTGCTGCCGGGCAGAGGGGCCCAGAGGCAGAGACCCGCTTGCTGTGTGCAGACTCGCTCTGCGTGGACAGGATTCTAGTGACTGACCTGCCACCGTGGAAATAAGGTTGGGTATAACCCTTTCACTCCAAGAACCTTCCACTGTCACTTTTTGGTCTCATTGAATCCATAGTGAACTTTCCTGGGGCTGAAACCCTCAGGCAAGACAGTGACTCTGCCTGAACTGACCTGAACAATGTGTGGCTACGTACAACTTTTATTTAGCTCAATTACTGTGAGTCATCAGAATAAGCAGACAGTTCTCTGCAGAAGTCTCGATGTGTTTCAGGACAGGGTGCTGCCCTCGATGCCCCACTGGGAATGTTATGGGATGTATGGTGTATGTTCTCTGTTATTTTGCCAAAATCTGAACAATTCCAAAGGCACGGTTGATTCTGGATTTCAGGTGAGGATTTGGGGCCTGTAACTGTGTGCACTTTATGGATGAATGCATAGACACAGGTTGAGGGTCCGGACCAGAAGTGTTTTTCCTGATAAGGGCGTGTGATCACAGGATCCTGGAGTCCACTGCAGATCCCAGTGACTCTGACATTGACCTCACCGGAATGTGGGCTTCCTAACTTGCAGGGCAGGGCAGCCCCCCGAGTGGAGACCGCCTGAGCCCCCACTGACTCCCCACCTTAGGTTAAAGGCAGGTAGGAGGAAGGACAAGTAGGAGGTTGTGGATAAAGTGAAGGTTCCTGTGGCCAGGATTCTCACCTGGCCCTGGTTGGCTGGCTCACTGCACACATGTGGGCAATACGTCATTACTGACTCCATAAAAAGAGCTCTGCCCAGTGCTCTGGGTGACATGGTGGCATGCCTGTAGGGCTGCAGGAGAGCAGAGCAGAGGCTGGAGTGGTGGCAGCACCGAGGACAGAGGCCCAGAGGACGGCTGTGCGGGCAGAGGGGCCTAGAGGCAGAGACCAGCTTGCTGCAGGCAGACTTGCTCTGAGTGGACGGGATTCTGGTGATTGACCTGCCACCATAGGAATAAAGTTGGGTATAAACCCTTTCACCCCAAGAACGTTGTACTGTCATTTCTTTGGTTTCATTGAATCCATAGAGAGCTTACCCAGGGCTGAAACCCCTTGGCAAGACAGAGGTTAAAGGCAGGTCGGAGGAAGATGTGAGGGGCAAACCAGAGACAAAGGGATTGAGAGGCTCTGTGCACCTTTGTAAGAAAAGCCTCGTGGTCTAGAGCCTCACCGGATACTTAGGATGGGGAATTCACGGCTGAATTCTAGAAATTAATATTTACTTTTTAGCCATGTAAAATCTTGTTTGATAATAAAAAGTTGTAAAATCACGTTAAAATAATGATTTTTTTACAATTAATGGAAGCAGCTACCCTATTCTGAATACAAGGGAGAGGGAAATAGGGAGAGAAATGTGAGTCTGAAAATCATGAATTAACTAGATTTCCAGGGTCTTCCCTGTCCTGATGTAATGGTGAAATCACAGTAATGAGAATGAAATGGTCGGAAACAGTGCGAACAGGTGGCCTGGCAGCCGAAACGCTTCACAAGAGCTTCCCTCTGCTTTATCCAACGTCGTCACAATGTTTCTTTTCTACTCAACGCTTAACAAATAAACCTGGTACAACTCTGAAGGATTTTGCTAATAAACTTTTGCATTTTCTGTTCTCTCAAGGATGCAAAGCCGCAGCATCCTGTCTGCCAAGGGGCCTGGATGTCCGTCATGGCGTTTACCCTGTAGCTGCAGAATGGCCCACGCAGTGTTGCTTCTGGAGTTTTTCGATTGACTCTGGGGACACCGAGTGTCCCTCGACTCCAGTAAGTAACGCCAGGGGCAGGGGTAGAGACGGATCTGACAGGCCCGGGCACTAACAGCGTCTCAGCCGCCTTTCTCCGGGGAAGGCTATCCATCAGCACAAGGGATCTGCTGCAGCCGACGAGGGAGACGCGGGAGTAACATCCTTTTCTCTTCCATCGACAGGGGCAATAACTCCTCACTCCCTGGGGACAGATTGTAAAAGCCAATCGCCAGGAGCTGTGAAGCAGGGAGGGTAGAGGAATTGAAAATTAAAGAGGGAGTGGAAATTTTGCAGAACGCTTTAGTGAGATGGAATCAACCATCAAATGTCAGTCTTTTAATTGCCTTGTTGTTGACACGGGGGTTTGCAAACGTTGGTTTTGATTGCTTAATTTTTCACGCTGATTATTAAAATCATGTACATTATATAAACGTGGTTTACCCTTTATATGTTTTACTAGGGCATGTTATAATATGCTGATATGTAATATCTGGGCATGTTTGAAGTCATCATTGAAAGTCTTTATTGACAATATATTTTGAAATATCGCTATGAAGAAAGATGCCCGGGGGCGTCTGAATGCTTCGAATGTTGTCTGATGTCTTCGTCTCTTGTGTACCTGCGTGTTGATCGCGGTAGAATGTGAGGGTGTTCGGTTTATGCATATCACATACCAGGTTTTTCAACAGTTAAGAATCTCTGTTTTCGAATAATCTTCAAAATGACTGAAATGCTGGGCAGGCAGCAGTCTTGTGCGGCAGCCCGTGCTGGACGGGAAGGTCTTCAGGTCTGCAGTTTAAGGAGAGCTTCTCATTCCTGGCACCGCCCAGGTAAATGAGTTTTCAGGGCCTAGACGTTGCTTTGAATTACATGCAGCAGAAAGGAAGATTTAGCTTTTAAGAAAATCATGCCATTCGGAAACAGATGCCTTTGAATGCCGCCTGCTCTATAGGAAACACACTTACTTAGTTTTTAAACTGGGTCTGGTGTTTAGTTAAATCTCCTGTGGACTCAGTTCACTGAAGGTGACAGTACTCACTCGAGCTCAATGAGGAGACGCGACAGTAAATTTTTCAGGCAGCGACAGGAGATCTTGTTATAGGAGTCAGAGCGGGGGTCAGGGCAGAGCCTGTTGAAGATTGAGGAAAAGAGAAGTAAATTCATTCTGCTCTGAACACTTTGTCAAGTGCCAGCAGCTCACCATTGAGAACTAGTCACCCGTTCTAGTCTACGGCCCTAGAGGTCACTCCTTCGATATAAATCACAGCCCCGCACGGGCGCAGCAACCTATTGCCACTCGGGATGAAATAAAAAAGAGGAATGTGGTTCTTGGAAGGGAAATGACTCCGGATCTCCCCCCACATGTTGCTGTTTAATGCAATATGTGGTTAGATATTGATCTCTCGAATCAAGTCATTAAAATGTGCAGTTTTTGTTTATTGGAATGAAGCAATTAAACGGTTCAGTATGCCGGACCTTACCTTTTCTGATGAAAACTATTGATTTCTTGCCACAGCTTTATAAGCGACAATGTTTTTGATTACTCTTGACAAACCTCCTTGGAGTGTTAATTAAAATTGTACCAGATGAGCAGGTGTGGGAGATCATTAGATCGGCCGGATCACACATCCACACTTCATATTACGCAGCCTTGCATAATGAATAGGGCACAAGAGGGGAGAACAATATCTTCATCAGCAGAATTAGCATCTTCGCTTTTTGAGAGGCTAGGTGACTTTCCATTTTCTGAGCAGTCGCTCTTGGGTCGCTGGCTGGCTCCTAGCTCCTACGTTTCATCCCGCTTTGTAGGTCTTGCTTTAATTTTTTCAGTATCTATTGGGTGGCTGTTTCTGTTTCCGAGGTAGCAAATACTTAAACACATATTTATACAGAAAATTGAGGAATCAGATAAGGCTCTTCCAGGCTTATGTAGATGAAGTCATGAATATTAATATGATTCCATGTAACACTTCAAATATCCCCTCAGTAAGATATCTTCAACGTGATTTGAAGAACTGTTTTACTGCTTTGGGGACTTGCATGAAATATGATTGTTTAGGAAGATGCTTTCTGGAACCCTACCTGTTCATTTATAGTCACACTTTCACTTGTAGCGATTGGAAGAGCGTTTCATTTTGAAAATTAAAAAACAGCTCAATGATAATTTATAAAACAGGCAAATGATCTTCATCTTTCTTAGAAAGTAATTATCTTTACGTTAATGGTATTATTTTATGAAGCTTGATTTAATTAGTATTTCATTAGTGTAGGCATTGAGGAGGACTTTTTTTGGTTTTTGTACAATGCAGAGAATTTGAGTCACTGAAATTAGATTTGAGCTACTCTGTGATCTGGTGTCTGTAGATAGCAGGGCAGCTTGTGTCTCTCAGATTCATAGCCCCTGAAAAGAACTTGAAGAGGTCACCTAATCCAATCTCCTGCTGCCAAAGGAGCTGTTTAAAAATGCACTATTTTTCATTAGTCTGGAATTTTAAAAAGGATTAATGAATTTAGAAATGTATTATTTACAATGTTCTGATCATGTATATCTAACTGGAGCTGTTAGGCTTTGAAATGATAAGCCTTTTTTTTTTTAATCTTAACTCTTAGTAGAATGTTTGTGGTTTATGAAGTGCCATTCCATTTATAGTCCTTTATTCAGTCAACAACTAAGTTTTATATCTCAGGAAAACATTTTGTAATTTTTTAAAGAAACCTCTGGCCCAGTTTTCTCCACTCAATAACATTTTTATGTTCTAATCATTTAAAGCTATGCTGTTATTTCACAGCCTCTGCTTGTGGGCAGCTTCTGGCATAAGT